AATATTAGCAAGAATATGTACTGATCCCATGTTTAAAAAGCAGATAAATGTCATCAATCATGATACAATTTGGGAAGGAGGAGATGCATGGACATAATATTAAAACTACTGGGTTTTTTTCTCAGGTGTAAGTACCTCCAGTTCGGAGCTTCATGATGATCAGCAGGCGTACAATCAGAGCTTCGAGGAAATGTCAGGTACAACATACACACCCAGAACTCTTACAGGACTTTTATGTACAGTTAATCTGATTTTCTGAATATAAAATGACGATTTTCTCTGCCATGGATGATTTGTGTCTTTGGTCGTGACTTACATTTTACTGTTTTAACATCTTAATATCACAATTAACCTTCCTGAGTTGATCATGTGTTTAAGAAACAAAGAAGTGACGCCAACAGTTTATCATGAGACAACATGTAAAGCTGCATGCATGGAGGTAATGTCAAAATATAACGTGTGCTGCTTTCTCTCAGGTGGAAATACCTCCAGTTCAGAGCTTTATGATGATCAGCAGGCAAACAACCAGAGCTCAGAGAAAACATCAGGTACAAAACAAACACTCAGTATTGTGCAAGACTTTTATATGCAGTATATCAGACGTTGTGTGTGTGTGTGTGTGTGTGTGTGTGTGTGTGTGTGTGTGTATAATTAATAATTTTCTCTGCCAAAGATGATTTGTTGTGTTATCAAACTGATGCTTCCTGAGTAGATTCTGTGTTTAAAATATATGACGTCAACACCTAATCATGATACAGTATGTAAAGCAGAAAATGTGCACGCATGAAAATAATGTAACATGTTGTTGTTGTTGTTGTTGTTGTTTTGGTTTTGTTTTTTTTTTTACCTCAGGTTAAAATAGCCTTGAGGTAGAGGAGGGGTCCACAGGGGCATTTGTTAAAGGAACAAAGTATACAGTCAAAAACTGGACTTTTATGTGCAGGATGTCGGTTTGATTCATTACTGGTGTTCACAGGAGCTATATTTTTATATTTTAACATCATAATATAACAAGTAACCTTCTTGTGTTGATTCTGTCTTTAGGAAACAAATAAATGCCATTAACAGTTAGTTACGATGCAACATGTAGAGCAGGAGATGTGTTTGCATGGATAGCAGATAGAAGCCCGCCGCCGTTAAAGCCAAACCTTGTCAATGAAACGGTTCCAGGTACAAAACAGACAGTTTTCATTATCATCATTGATGGATGCATGATAA